TCGTGGGGGGCTCAGTGGCGTCTCCGGTGTTTGAACAGGCACAGTACTTCTTTACCGTGTCGGAGGATGTTCTCAGGGGGACGGCAGTGGGCGTGGTTCGTGCTTCTGCCAAGACAGGTGAGGCCCTTGTACGCTCACATGCTTTATTGGATTCCTGGGTCTGCTTTGGTTATTTCAGGCTTGCTTTTAACACTTGCATACTTCCCTAGTGAGAAGCAGTTCTGTGCGGCTTGCCCATTTTCATCTTCCTGACAAGTACCAGGACAAAAATGCACTAATGGGCTGCAGCATGATGCCTTATCTCTTGAGTAGTTGTAGAAATAACCAAGCAACAATTGTACACACTCCATTAAGAAATCACATCCGCCTCACGGTGCACAATTTACTGGCGATTATTTTCTACTCGCAATCCTATTTTCGCTCATGGTTAATGATGGATTTTAATTGGGATGTAATTTTGAGTCAGAATAATCAGTGGTGTGGTGGACAGATGGCTGTGGTGGTATACAAGGCTCTCAGTGAATCTGATTCTTGGTCTTCATATTATTATTTCTTAGTAAACATTTAATATTTCAACCTCAGTTGTTTTCTGTTTTATTGTATTTTAATTTGAAAATCCCACGATTTCCATTGTGGCATAATTTCTCACTATTTCCTTACATCTTCTGTCTTCCATCAGGTGGCTCTAAGGATATTTTCTACTCGATTTCATCTGGGGACCCTCGTGGCTACTTTACAGTGGACAGCGCCTCTGGTACCATTCGCACAGCCCTTCCTCTGGACCACGAGACCTGCCCCAGTCTTGACCTGGAGATCCAGGCACGATTTGGCTCTCCTCCGGCATATGGAATCAGCCGGGTACACATAACCATTGCAGACATCAACGACAATGCCCCTACCTTCCTGCCATCCTCATCAGAGTCCCTTCTTTTACCCGAGATCACCAAAATGGGGACGATTATCTACCGTATTCAGGCCACCGACAAAGACTCCGGCCATAACGGTCAGCTCAGCTTCGATCTAGTCTCTGCTGGGGCTGCAGGCAGCAGTGGCCAGAGGACATTTGGCGTTGACAGGGGCAGTGGGGAGGTACGTCTAATTGGGAGTTTATCATATGAAAGTGTCCCTCGCTATGACCTTCAGGTGGTTGCCAAGGATGGTGGAGCGCCTCAACTTAGCTCCACCTTCACCCTTGTGGTCCACATCCAAGCACAAGACGCACAAGGCCCAAACTTTGATACCCTTACGTACCGCGTGGAGCTACGTGAAAACACCCCTCTAAACACGCGTTTCCTTCAGGTCCGTGCACTTAACAGAGAAGCTTCTGGAAATGGTGGAAGCTCCTCCTCCTCATCATCTTCCTCCTCTATTTCCTACCGCCTCAGACCTGATGGTGATGCCGCAGGTTTTGGCATCATGCCAGATAGCGGTTGGCTGTTTGTTCGGAGCTCTTTAGACCGAGAAGTCAAAGACATGTTCCTGTTGACTGTTCTTGCCACCTCGGGCCCAGGAGGTGCAGGAAGAACCGGCAGCGCGACCGTCCGGGTAACAGTGACGGATGAAAATGACAACTCCCCTCGACTGAGCCAGGAGAGGGTGTTTCTGGCTGTCAGAGAAAACCTGCACGCGGGAACGGGCTTCGGCAGGGTTTCTGCAACGGACAGAGACGCAGGACTAAATGCTCGACTCACCTACAGGCTGCTGCACACAGACAGGCATTTTCAGATTAACTCGCAAACAGGTAACAATAAACACCGTAACCATAACACAAATAGGGATAATAGTACACTTTTTTTTAACTGTGCTGCACAGCATGAAATGTAGTTACTTCATAAGCAGTGATAATACCAGCATAATTTCCCTTGAGGAGTTGATGATTTGCTCTTTCTCAATTAAATTAAATTAACACGGTAATTACTCAACGGCTTCCCTCGTGTCTTTTTTTTTTGCTTTAGGTGAGATTAGCACCCGCCTTGCACTGGACAGAGAGCAGCAGTCCAGCTATCAGGTTATTGTGGTTGTACAGGATGGGGGTACGCCCCCTCGCAGTGCAACAGGGACGGCACATATCACTGTGCTGGATGAAAATGACCACGCCCCCAGTTTCATTCATGCCAGGCCTGACAGGGAGCTGGTGCTTCAGGTGAGAAGGGAGGGGGAGATTAGTTATATCAGCAAGCAGCTTTTGGGGATAAATTTTATCTATGAGTGAATCAAATTTTCTTCTATGCATGCTGGGGTTTTATTAGTGGGGTGTGACGTAAACCCACAGAGAGGTGGTATCGTAGCAAATTACCCTAAAAGTGAGGATTTAATGGATCTGCAGTTGCGTTCATTCCCGGTGAGTAACAATACTTCTTTGCAGGTGACTGAGGGGCTTCCATCAGGAACAGTCATAGGGACGCTGGCAGCTAAAGATCCAGACGAGGGAGAGAATGGCACCATCTATTACTCATTATCAGGTGAGCCTCATAATTCGTCTTATAGCCATAAATTTACAGATTTTTCCACCTGCCACGGCGTCCACATAACATACATCGATAATGTTTGTTTCGTTTACTTCAGGCTCCAGAGCAGAGCGTTTCTCCATCAATCCAACCACCGGTGAGCTTAGAAGCGCTTCCCCTCTGAGATTGACAGAGCGAGCCGAGTACGCCTTCACTGTGACTGCTGCCGACCACGGCACGCCGACACTCAGCTCCACCTGTCAGCTACGAATACAAGTAAACACAATCTGCACATTTTCATATCCTCATCCAGCTGCCAAACATCTTCATATGCACTGAATTTCCAAAATATTCTGTGACGTCTCCTGATTGGACACAAAGTCTGGTGACCGAACCTAAACATCTGTGCTTCACCTCAGTCCTTCTGTGTTTCTTTCTGTAACACAAGCTGTAATTTCCTCAATCTGAGGAAAACAGTGAGCAGTTTGACTGTCAAAGGAATTTGGAAAAGAGGTAAATATGAGAAAGAGAGAAACTGAACCTGTGCCTTTATAAACAAAGAGCTCTATCCAATCTAGTGGGTGTTTCCTGATCCAAAGGTTAGAGGGGTAACTAGAACCCATGGTGCGAAAGACTGAGCTAATACTGTGAACTTTCTGGTGGAGGGTCAGTCCTCCATATCAACATACAATATCAGGAATTCAACTGCAGGAAAAAAAAAGCTTAGGAGCTCAGTGTTTTTGTGCGATGTGGTTTCAGAAAGGAAAAGGATGCTAATTACGATGGGAGTGCTTGCCTTAGATTTCGTCTGTGCACTGCTTGTGCGGCTCTGAGATTAGACAGAGGGGAAACAGGCACCTTGGAATCAAATGCTCCCAGATGAGATTTGATGAAAGCCAGCTGCATCAAATCACACAGAGAGAAAGGGAATACACCGCAGTACAGTAGCAAGCAGTGATACATGCACGCACAGAGACACGCTCGCTGTAATGACACGTTCAAACACTTGCATGAGGTAACGTTTCCAGTTAATGATTTTGAGATAACATTTCCCTTAGCTGCGCGTAAAATCAGACACACGGATACCGTTGTACACCACATGTACTACAGTACACATGATAGTTAGCCTGTACAGAGAAAAGGCAAATGAGGCAAAAAAGTATAAGTAGTGCAGTGCAGCACATTTGTTAGTGCTGCCAGCTCATTAAATTATGTGATCTGAGGAAGTGCATTTAAGCAAATTACTTAAAAAACAGACTTTCACCAGCTGTAGTCATCCATTTGGAGCTTGAGCCCAGAATTTCAGTGCAATCAGTTATTGTTTATGTCGGCACTACAATGAAGCACGGAGGAAAAGCTGCAACATACTTCTGCTTCTACTGCTGTTTTTTTTTTTTGTTGTTGTTTTGTTTTTTAATAAAAAGTGATCAAAAGTAGTGATGTACTCCTATAGGCACTTCAGTTATAGCAACTGGAGGCTTCAAGGATAGAGGATAGAGGCTTTTTCAGTTCTAAAAACTGATGGAAAGTCCCCAAGAATTTAACTCTTACGAGTAAGAGTTAAAAGGTTGTTAGTAAAGGTCTCATGGGTCAAGTTGTGAGTGAGTGGGGGTGAGTTAGTAACAAATGGGCCTTGATAATGTGTGGATAGTAGTGCATTTCACCTGCAAATACGTGCAAAAAGTGGTCAGACTTAACCACATCATGTCCCTCCACTTTTAGTTTTAGTTTGAGTCCAATTAATGGAGGAAAAACCTCCACTAATCGCTATAGGTATTGAGGACAAAGGAGTGTGTGTGCCCGTGTGTGTATTTCTTGATGATGAAACCAGAAAATCTGCTTATATTTCCTCAGAGCTCTTTGATCCGTCCCAGAACAGTGTTGAACCCTGAGGTGGTTCAAAGTGTCAAAGGCCCTCTGGCTCGTATTTGTTTCCCATCGGAGCAGCCTGTAGCATATGTGGAGGTTGCTTATTGCTCTGAATTATTTGAACTGGAACACTTACAGTTTTCCCTACTATCACACCCTTCATTATTTTGTCACAGGTCACAAAGCCTGACTCTCAAGTTGAAGCCAGAATGCGGCAGTCTCAAGATATTTACTGGAAGGATTACACGTAATGCCTTCATGCACAGTGAGAGTGCCTGTGAAGGTTATTATAGCATTAACAACAAAACAGAAACAGACTACAGCCCAAGGCTATGTATAGGGATGGGTTGGGGTGAGAGCCATATAGATGCATTGTCTGCAGAATATCAGAAGAAATCAGATCCTTTAACACACGTATACAGCTTCTTGCCACTTTCCTCCTTTTTGTTACTGAGAAGTGTTGTTTCAGTCTGTTTTGGGACAGATCCAAGGATGAATTACACTGCAATCTAAATCACAATTATTATTGGAAAGACTTTACCACAAATACTCAGGAAATGTTTGTTTGACCCTAGTTTCCTTTTCTTTAGGTTCTCAGCTCTTCCAGGTCCAGCCCCAAGCCCAACGTTCTCTCTATGACCCTGAACACAGTCGAAGGGGCAGCTCCGGGCTCTGTCATTGGTTCAGTCCGTCCACCTGATCAGCATGAATCTGCTCTATTTGAAGGCCAGGTGACCTACCTGGTCGTGGGAGGGACAGATCGCGATGGGACCTTTATGGTGGACCACTTAAAGGGCGATGTGTACGTGGTCCGGGAGCTGGACTATGAGAAGGGCTCAAGATACACCCTGAACATCGAGGTGTCGGACTTCTCTCAGGCATTTCCCAGCAGCCACCTGGTGAAACTAGATATCAACGTGCAGGACAGCAATGACCATGCGCCTCAGTTCACTGAAGACCCCGTTACCATTGTGATCCACGAGAACATCGAACCAGGGGCTTCCATATACACCTTCCAAGCTGTGGATCAGGTAGGAAAGAGTGTATGGGATCAATATGCTTTCAATAAAGCACAGTTAATCTGAGTTGTGTTGTTATTCATGTTGTTTTCAGCTTTGTATTCACTGTTTTTTGTCATTGTTTAATCCTAAAATATCAGTTATTCTGTTATCTGTTAACAGAACTGACATCTTCAAATTGATCGTTTTATCCTAATAAAGTATTTTATTAATTTAATGATCAATTCATTATCATTGTTGTTGCTGTTAAATTTCCTGCAGAAGAAAAGTAGAAGGAGAATAATCTATCCACTTCCTGTCTAATTTATCCATTCTTTCTTTTTGTTTTATAGGATGGCAGTGGACCCAACAGTGAGCTGCGCTATTCCATCGAGCACTTCTGGCCTGAAACTCCTGACTTCCTCATCCTTGACCCCTCAAGCGGAGTCCTCACCCTGGGGCAGAAGTTAGACCGTGAGTCCACACCGTCCCTTTACCTTGTGGTGCGAGCCACAGACCAGGCAGTGGATATCTCTCAGAGACGCTGGAGTTCGGTCACTGCCCGAGTGTTCGTGACAGACGAAAACGACAACGCGCCGGTCTTCAGCTCTCCATCTGCGGTCAGCGTCATGGAGGACCAGCCTGTAGGGTGAGTGTCACGTCAGTGCCGGTAATAAAATATCTTTGGAATCCTCAAGTGCATTTCCGTGATGATGTTTGGTTTGTGTCTTCGTTGACAGGTTTGTGATTTTGTACGTCATGGCTCGAGATTCAGACGAAGGAGAAAATGGCAGAGTATCGTACAGAATTCAGGCGGGCAACAGCGCTGGTCGCTTCAGCCTGAACCCTGACACCGGTGAGCTTTGAGGGTGGGACGTACCATTTGAAAATACTGTAATGTGAAATCGATATCTCAAGACGTAGGGAACTTTCCACGACTATCCAATTTACACTCCATCAAAAAACGAGTAAAATTCACCACATAGTTTCTTGTGCTTTAAGTGATCTAACACAGCAGGACTAGCCTGTGGCCTTTTTCTTTGGGATTTAATGATTGATGGAAGCCGCCTGGATGAACAAAACTTTCCAGAAAATCATAATTAGACACTGAAGTGCTGCTGTGTAATATTTCTTTGGAATCATACTTGGTGTCCTTTTCTTGATGGATTTGTTCATGGGAACCAATCTTTATTTGGGCTCGAGATGTGGATAGCTCTTGATATTTTTTTTCTTCATATGTGATCTCTTCATTGTTGGAGCGTGGTGGTGTGGGCGTGCTCAGCGCTTTCTGGGATGAGATTAACAACTACGACACAGACACTTAATGTAGCTTCCAGATGGAAGAAAGTCTTTACGCCATTACTGTGTCTGGCTCCTTAACAGGGAGGGATTTCACTTCTGGTTTGTTGCTCAGGCGTGTTGGTGTTAGGCTTTTGGTTATTAATAGCTGTAGTGACACATTAGCATGTATTGTGAGGACATGCACCAAACCCCCTGGCTAATGTGAAGGGTATCACTAGATTTATTATTGCTTATAAGTGATATATCTGCTCTGCAAGCTGTTCTAATTTTCAATTACTTTATTTTATGAACTACAATTTACATTTTATTGATTGCCTATAAAGTTCTATATCTGACTATTTAGGGCATCATTTAAGTCAGTGGTTCCCAAACTTTTTTTGCTGGGCCCCCCTTTGTTTTACAAGAAAAATGTTGCACGCACGCACACGCACGTACACATCCTCCAACCACACACATCCATATTTTGCTCCATTGTGGTTTATTTCACACCTCAAACATTTAGTAAACAATTAAGCAAATACAAGTAATCTGCAATAACTTACAGGCAGTAAGAAAATAAACTACTAAACTTTTATGCTACGTTTATGCTACGTCCACACCTACACGGGTATTTTTGAAAATGCAGCTGTTTCGTCCACGTAAACGACGTTTCGAATCACCGAAAACTGAGATTTTTTTAAAGCTCCTTTTTTGCGTTTACGTGTGGACGAGGAATACAGAGTTCGTCACGCAACGTCAAAGGTATGTGCCTTTCTTCATGTCACGCTGTGCGCCACGTTATTGTTTACATGAGATGAATTGCAGAATGGCAGATCGAGACAAAATACTGTTAATCTGACTATCTGCAGGTTTTACACGCTTACATACACACGCAGTTAATGTCCCTCCATTCAGAAAGGCAGAGGCGTCACGATGTGATTATTTTACGTGTAGTTGTTTTTTTACCTGTGTAATAGTATTCAACATTGCTATCAATACATTTTTCAAAAAATGCCTCTCTGTGCAAAAGGGGTTCAAAAACATAAACAACTGTGGGATACTGTTTGTCTGTGATTTGAACCGGGGGAACAAATTGTGGCAGGATCAGCTTGATAATATTCGTATCCCACTGTAACGTTACTGTATAAAGTATAGTATAGTATGTATATCTCCAAAATGTCAGGAGTAGTTATTCATTACAACAAGTGTTTGTGAACTAAAAATCACGAATGTAGGATGAATGGAAAACTAATTCTGCAGTGGAGACCTACCTCGGCACTCGTGCAGGTGAAGCCAAAGGGAAGATATGCTTCACCATATTTTCTAGTCTTTGGCTTAGAATGAAGTTGGTTTGGAAACATATTCAGCTATGCTTCATCTTCTGCTTTGCGTTTCTGTAGGCGCCCGTGCTAGCAGTGTCCAAGCGTTTTGTTTTTTTCCCCCCTTCTCAAAGCGCCCCACACTTTGAGAAGGTCTGATTTAAGTAATATGCTTGGATAAATGGATACTTGGGTGATTTATGCGCTGTGGATTAAATATTCTGTATACAGTACTTTGCAAAACTTTTGAGCCACCCCTGATTTTTTTATATTTTGCTTCCAAGAAGCACCACTTTCTTCTAATGTTTTAAAGTGGCGTTGAGGAATAGTTCTCCAGGGTTTGTGAGGGTCTTTCAAAGTTCATCTTTGGACACTGGCTGCTTTTTCCCCCCTCGTTTTCAGTCCAAGTCTTGGGCCTGAGCATTTTCGAAGGAATGTTTTTGTTAAAACACTTAACTCTGACCTATGAATCATTCAAACACACAAAAGGCACCTAACTCATGATTGAAGTAGTTTTTTGTCTAAGCATATGAGACAACTTAAGGCGCTTTGTTACCAGCAGCCTGTCACATAACACATATTTTTCCCCATTTCTTTAGTCGAATCTACAAAAAATGCCAAAGATAACACACTTCAACAGACATAAAATCAGATTTTTGCAACAACAATGTGACTCCCGAAGAGCTATTAGCTGAAAACTTGTCATATCTTTCCATGCTGTGCAGTGAAAACCTAAAGAATAAAATAAAAAAGATGTGGCAGGCCTGTAAAATTAGTTATAGAATATGAACAATACATGAAAGTCATGTCTTAAAGCAATATGAAAAAATCCAACAAAAAGTTGACACAGGACCTGCATCTGACCCTTCAGTTGATCAAACTAGTGTTTTCTAAAGCCTAATAATAAGCCTAATATTCAAGACTAACTGAAGAAATTATAAGAAGGCTTGCCCAAGTGAATTCAGGCTATGTTGAAGAATAAAGGTGGTCAGACCAAATATTAACTTTCAAGTTTGTTAGAGCTATAAAAACTGTTGAAAACACAGTTTTGCCTTATATACTGTTTTTGCCCTACTTATATAATATGTTTCTGTGTGTGGCAACACGTTTCAATAAATTGCTGCAC